TATCACTCTCACCATAAGACATTTCTTTCATGCAGCTTGTTGCATATTCTTCTACATGGATAAGTGATTACTGAACTGAACATCGGAAAATTCTTTTACACAGGGTCAATGACCTTTTCACATAGATTTTGATAGAGATCTACAATGTACCTTTAAGGGACATTTAGAATATTTTCACAATTTACAAGTTGTTCTTTATTTTGCTGCTCTTTGGTTGAATGTGAAATGTATTATTCTGTGATATACAATTCGATATTGAAGGTCATTGCAGCTATTTAACTCAATGGGAATAAAATACTCTATAATATCAGTTAACAAGTTAACAATGAGTTATTAGAGGCAATAAGCAGATAAACGTGTCTTCAAAACTAATATAAGAATAGGAACATCTGTACAACCTCAAGAAAGCGAACTCAATACTGTTTCATTGTCTTTGATTATGTGGACTAGGCTAGATCAGATACTTACATTGCATTGTGGTCAGTTGACATACTGAAACCTTAATCGGAAGGAATGTCATCAATTTTAAAAAAATGGATGAACGTTTTATTCATTTTAACGAGAATATTTTGCGATATTCTGTTTTCCATCCTTCCAAAAGCAAAAAAAAAAAAAAAAAAAAAAAAAAAAAAAAAAAAAAAAAAATAAAAAAAAAATAAAAAAAAAATCAATAAGCAAAGTGTATATTCTTCACATATAAAGTCTGATATTTTTAATTCATGCAGTTATCAGTAAGCTTTAATTTTAATATTGTAATATAACCTGAAATTGTGGTATTCTGGTTATCACCTTGTGGATATTGTTGTTTAGCAGATAGTTCAGTGGATTTGAAAAACAAAAACCTTTGGTTCAAACTGGAAACCAGTCACGGTAGCCTAGTGGTAGAGCGTTCTCTTCGTGATCGGGAGGCCCGGGTTCGTTTCTCGACCGCGGCGCCTTGTCATACTTAAGACGTAAACATAGGTAGTGACTGTTCCTTCGCCAAGCGTTAGGCACTAGAAGTGAAAGTCACGGGTCTTTCGGACATGACCTTAAAAACGTAGGTCCCGTGTCACGGTAGGCGTTGGCACTATAAAGAACCCTCACTGCTCAATGGTCCTGAGTGCCGAGTAAAGGTCAAAATTTGAAGCCCTTCACCGGCATATGTTGACGTCTCCATATGATTGAAATATTCTCGAGTGGGACGTTAAACATTATACAATAAATCAGTCAATCAATCAAACTGCGAAAAATGGTAATCACGGTAAGGCATATTAGAAAGACTATGATTCCATCGATTTGCAGTTTATACTTTAAAGGATTATTAATGATATTAATTAAGTTCTTATTATTATTTTTTTTTGTTATTTATTTTAAAAAATGTTTACACTGTGCATGTTTTAATACAGAAAAAAAAGCAAACAAAAAAAAAAAGAAAAAAAAAAAAGAAAAAAAAAGAAAACGGAATTTAAAAAGGTTCTAATTCCATAAATGTGCAGTTTATACTTTAAAAGAATATTAATGGTATAATTTCCTGTTTTTGTTATGTATTAAAAAAACATGCTTACACTGCTTTTCTGCTTTCGAATCAATTCGGCTGACAAAAATTATAATCACGCGTTCTTTTCAGAATCTACCTACAGTTACTTGGTGAATGTACCATTTTCTTTCATAAGACTATCATTATCAAAGAAAAATGTGTTTCTCCTGTACCGTCTGGAATTTCTCAGCATTAACCACATTTTTTCTGTGATTTTCAGCAAGAATATTTATGCGCCATTTCCAATGCATATTCTTTTTTTTAAAAAAAAAATACTAATTAGTGGAACTTCCAATTCCTTAAGATTTCTGTGTACTGCCTTGAACCCAACTCACAGTTATTGGACTATCGCTGAATTTCAAAGAAATGGCCTTCACTTTCCATTTTAATGAACAACAAAAGACAAATGTATGTATATGTTGCACTTTGTCGAATATTTAAAAGTAATTTACTAAGAGTAATTTATTACCAGTAAAACACGTTGTGCAGCGTTATTTGTATGTTATATTCTTTTCGTTATTAGATATATTCATTAGCAATATTACTTCTTGATGAGATTCTAGAAATAGGACATTGTTCAAGTGATGTAATCACCTATCTGTCATGCATATTTTGGTTGTTTTCTTTAATTAGTGCCTGTTGCAGCTCTTGATGTTTTATTCATTGTTAATTATTGAAGTTCTAAAACCAAGAAATATTTTAAGTGATTACGATTTTCGTATAGGGAAAATGAAATGCTTATCATTACGATCTTTGTGATACACGAGAAGGGTAACCAAAATTTTTTGAATGCGCAAAATAAAATTTAAAGAAAATATTTCAGTTGTCTCTTTCTTTAAATTCTAAGACCCATTAAATGAAATATATGGAGATAACGAAAATGCAGTATTCAAGCTCAAAAGTCCATAAAACAATACAACACAGGAGCAGAGCAAACACGGACCTACAGAAGATCAGAGGAGGGATCAGGTGCCATGGAAGAGTGACAATCCTCTGCCAACCGGTCATGCACACTCGACCTGAGCTCCTTGTCATGATCAGGAAGCATCCGTCTGTTGATATTCTTGTTTCTTCAATTTGTTTGTCAATAATTTACCTCGTTTTAAAATATTGTACATACGTAGAGCATGCACTTCCGTATTGAATCAACTGAGAGATATAAACTCCGTATGCATATGATGAAGGTATATTGCTGAAAAAGTAAGGGAAGTAGAAGATTGAATAGTTAAAGTCATCACGTTTGGTAGTAAGATAACCATTAACGTCTTTTTCAAGTAAAATATCCAAATATGAAACAGATGAATCACACTCTGTGGTGTCTTTCATCTCAAGCTCATCGGGATACAGTGTACATCCTATCGACATAAGAATGAAAAAAAAAAATTGTTAATTGACAATACGTCGTCGATATATCTAAATGTCGACTTTGAAGGCCACAGCAAGTATTTTCTTCATTTCATGAATACGATTTTGGACAAATTGATTCATATGAATACAAAAAGGTCTGCTAATAACAAGGCACAATGGGTACCCATGGGAATTCTAATAGATTTTTTGATCGTAAGTTCTGGTCTCCAAAAACCACACATATACACGAACAAAAAAAAAAGATTTTAAACTATACTATAAAATTACTTAAACGGTTGGAACATTTCTCTGTATTAAATACTCATACAAAAAAAAATTTAAGTGGTTTAAGAATATTCAATTCGAGGGTATTTACTCCAATAGAGACGGCATCATGTACCGATGAAGAGTTTCAAATTTTGATTTTTACGGTACTTTGGGTCATTGATCAGTGATCATGCGAGTCTTTTTCTAATAAACGCGGTTGTCGAAGGAAAAATCACTACCTATGTATCATATATTATGTATCAGGTTTGACGCCGCACGACGAACAAGAATCGAGTCTCAAGTCTCACGGTCACGAATCATTACAACTTACCTGGTTTTATGAAAGTCACCTTTAGAAGCTTAGTCTTTTTGGAAAAGTCCTGGCTGATGATCTTGTATTGATTTGACAGTTTTCTAGACTTCAATATTTTTCAGATTCTATAAATAGTAAAACAAGTCTATAAGTACTGGAAATATGCCGAATACAGTTCTGTATTAAAAAATATCAGACAGTTTGAGGCCCGTTAGGGCTAGTATATGATAATTAATACTTAATTTGACAGATTCGCAACAAATTTTGAAAGAAATTTGAAGTTTTTCAACATTTCCCTCAAAACTCCTGGATTATTTATTATGTTTGTTTTTCTGTAATGGAACATCAAAAACAAAGGTATATGTAGACTCTTAACATAAAAAAAAATGAAATGGACTAGAGTATACCTTTAGCATCTGCTTAATTTTCTGTGGATAGTCTTCATATCGGGAATTTCCATTCCATTCCAAATTCATCATTCACTAAATTGTCTCTATGATAACTCGTTGCACTGATTTAATCTCTGTGCAAGTTTTAATGAAAAAAAATGTTGTCCCCATTCTCCTTTTCAAATTCTTTCAAATACCTTCTTCAGTGTACTTAAGTTTAAGTTTTTGTGGGGTTTTTTTTTTGTTTTTTAATTTTCATTATCTGGTCTGTCGCATATTCTTCTTCCTGCAACAGTATATTTGGTATAATTGAAAGTTTAATTTTTTTTTAAAATTTGCAATCTTGTAAGATCAATGCTTCAAAATCATCATTCTATGTGAGAAATTTAAATTGATGTTTGTTGAATTGTCACACTTTTATATTTCTTTTGTTCAGTAGCAGTCCAATTTTGAAGGATATCAGTACCGAGACAGTCTGATATTACGATTAATATCAGACTGCTCACTAATATCGGACTGCTACAGGTAGATTTTTAGACTGCAAGAACAAAGGAATGACATCACAGCAATGTTTTAATTTGATATACACTTGATCATGTGATCATTTTTGAGTCAATCAGAAAGCTTAGAATAATAGAGAAGTAAAAATAATTATAAAATTCCCCCAGGACGTTTTTTTCTCCAGGATATTTGAACCTGAATTAATATTTATTTAAATACACAGTTTTAGCAAATGATGCCTCTGCCTAGGGTCGTGAGTTCGATCCACGCTTTGGATTGTGTCTCTTTTCTTTAGAAACTGAAGCCGTTCACTATTTCGGCATAGTATGCTTATGCTATATAAACCCCTGACCACTATGCGAAAATAGTTTAGTATTTATAATTTTGTAAAAAGATTCTGACAAGATACATAAAAATATCCAACAATATCTGTGTACAGGAAAAAATATCTTTTACTAATGAAAAATTAAAAAGGTTGAATAACACTTTCCTGAAAACCGCTAATATCTTTTCGAAAATTTATTCTTTTACTTTAATTAGATTTCACTGAACTAGAACAAATGTGGTATTGAGTAGTCCCTTGTTCTATGGCAGTTGCCAGGGAATTTGTCTTTTTATGACAAAAGCCTCCTTTGTTGGAATCATTATGCATCAGTCGTTCGCGATGTCGTATTTCAGTATAATGACCCTCCTGATTCTGCTTTGTTATCCGAAATATACAAGTGGTCTTTTCGGTCCAAGTAGGTTTATCATTTAATCTTTCAAGTCATTTGATAGTCTTTGCTATGATCATTCGTGAATCAAATGTTACTCTTAATTCGGAAAGTACAGACATGTTTGTTTAACAATGTTTATCTTCTTCTAGGTGCGACAGACTGTGAGGCAGATCAGTTTTGGGGAAATTGTAACAAAGATGCCCTATGTCTGTGCTACACTGGATTGTGGTATTCTTCAAGTGTTTCTTCAATAAGCGAAATTATGCCTTCGGTGAATTCCTTTAATGACGTATGCACATGTAGTAGTGGTGAGTATTTAAACATTAGAAAGAGGATGATGATTTAATACTGAATGTATAATTCTACTAACTTAAGGTATGTCACTCGTCAGCTTTTTAGAAAAGTTCACGCAGATCCTCTTGCTTCAAAACTATTTATCAAATTTCAATTTTTATAACATATTTAAATTCAACAATGTTAATTTTTTAACATTCAACGAAAAAACTGCTCAAAAAGCTACAAAGAAGCAAGTTTTATGAGGGACTATTTCTTGTGGTGGAAGGATATTTAGCAGATAATTCTGCAAATCTGCACATTTATTAAATTTGATATCTGGAAACTTTAGCCTCACATACTTTTATTTTGAGAGTATTTTTCGTTATGATATTGCTAGGAATATTCAAAATAGGTCTTAATTTATATTTTAGAATAAGTTTTAAACCTTCCTTCAACAAACTTTGCCAAAAAATGAAGATATGTCAAACAAGTCTAGATAAAATTCATACAATCTTTTGCCTTAAAATCACATATTTTGACCAATATTTCAAAATTAACATCACTAACACCAACTTTTTCTTTCATTATTTTAAAGTACTGTAGATCACTAAATTTTCGCGACACCTTATTTTCGCGAGATAGTCATTGACTCTTGATTAGCGAGACAAATTTTTCACGAATTGTGGTTATTGCTCTATATAATCTTAAGGAATACTATTATACGCGAGAAATAAATTTTCGCGAGCACACTGCCTCGCGTAATTACGCGAAAATAAAGTTCTCGCAAATAAAAAGTGATTTACAGTACTCGATACTTGTGACTGATCAGCACTTGAGTCGTAAAAAGCTTGATTTAAGAAAAGGTTTTACATGTATTGCCAATTTAGTTTTTTAATACCCCAAATATGTTACTTTTTAGTGCAAAAAGGTCACACAATAATTTACGCGCATTAATTTGCAAGATTTGTTCAATAATAAATATTATTCAAACTATTTTACGTAAAATAAAATTATATTTATTGCCATGGTTACATCTGATAAAATATGATAAAGCCTCATAAAGGTTAAACTAATTTACCAAAGTGTTAAAGTTTAAATCCAAAAAGGTCAACTTAAATATACCGTAGATCAGTAAGATGCACACTGACCCCATATTTTCTCTGCGATTTTGAGTCACGCTATATGAGTACTTATTCAAAATATACTTCTCAAAAAATCCTTGATTTAACAAATTTCACGAGTGACATGGAATTAATAATATATATTTTTTAATATTGAAAAAGGTTGTGATAGAACCAACTAGTTTTTGGATTCAAAGTAATAAGTCATTTTTGAATTATTAATTTATCTAATACATTTCAAATAAAAAGTTATATGTTAGAATAGAAATACTGTAGTTCATCCGAAAAAATGCTTTGTAAAATCAAATAATATATTAATTAAAAAAATCAAATATGATTTCACAGCACCGTATCATATACCAACAAGAAAACATTGATGTAACCATCAATTTTCGCCCGGGAAATAAATAAAGTTAACAATGAAAATAAGTCTTGATCATCAAACCGCTTCGATATGTGTGAAAAAGACATGCGTCTAAATGATGGAGACGATAGTCGAGACTATTTTGAAAACTTATTGTAGGACAAGTAGAGCTTTTATAAAAGCTTACCGTCTTTAGCAACAATCTTAAACAGTAAACTGATCTACACGTATAATTCTTTTGAATTTCTTGATTTTGTATTTCTACATTAGCTTTTTACTGGCATTAGCCCTCCCACGGTTGTCGCTCGGTCATCTCCGTAAACTTTGGCTGGCCGAGAGCTTTCGGCAAACCTCGGCTGATTCCATTCCCTTCTTCAAACAAGAAAGGGGAAATGAATAATAACAAATTGTAAAGCTTGCAAGCAATAAAAATCAAATTTTATTTATAATGAAATTAAAGAGATCTTTTTTTTTATTGCTACACAAAAAAATCATGTTATTAGGAATTAATTACTACTGATTTTGTTGTTCGTTGTGTCATTTTTTAAAGATTGAAAATCTTGCAAAATTCTTGAGTCGTACGAAAATAGATCATCAGAAAGTTATCTCCCTTGCCTTGAACAGCATTTCAACCAATGAAATAATTGAAAATTTTATCATTATGCATTTTCTACCAATCACAAAAGAGAGGAAGTGCTTAGTCCGAAGACTGTAAAAAACTTCAACTATACAATACCGTCTTCGAAGACGGTAATGAAACTAGAACAAAAACGATACCCTTTTAAACTTAATCAATTCTTTAAGTAAATGTTGACTGCATAAAATATAAATTGAAACCAGACACATGCATCACCTATTTTCAAAAATGCATTTTACTTTAAGAATAAAAAAAACCACGAACTGTGTAAAGTACGTTTTTATAGTAAATATAAGCATTTCTATATATCAAATACGAAAAACATATATACACTGTATATATATATATATATATATATATATATATATATATATATATATATATATATATATATATATATATATATATATATATATATATATATATATATATATATATATATATATTTTTTCACAGGTTCATTTTATGGGAGAAAATATATTGTGTATCTCGTAATTTATAAAGGGAAAGAACATTCTGATTTACGATCTTTTTAATGTTTAAAAAACCTTTAATTTTGAATAACTTTGCCCACCTCAGTCCCCATATACCAACACTTAAACAAATGTATAGAGCAGCCCGGTCCTCCGGGCTGCAATAACAAGGCCCAAAATAAAACAGGGTTATTTAAAACTAGCTTGAGTCCAGCTTTTCATGTTTATATCATCCTAAAATAAATCAGCTTTCGCTATTGGCGAAAGACATTATACCAATGATAAAGACTTTGATCCGGAACACAGGGTGATTGGAGTTTTGTAAATAAAAGAAATACAAGAACACCATTACTATTATTCTTACTTTTCAACGTTCAACATCATATTACACATGCGAAGTAGGTGTACATAATTCTATGTGTTATCACGTCTAAAAACAGTTAAATAAACAAATAAAATGCAAGGAATAAACATTTTTAAACATCTGTTCAGTAAAGTTTATTTATATTAAAAAAACATCGATCGTGTTTTATTTTTTTTAAGCGACTTTCAACCGTTGTGGTTTGTCATTACATGTGCATGTGTAAGGTTTTGAAGTGTATTAAAGTGGGTACAAATATCAAGTTGTTATACATATCCCCCCTTTCGTTTTATTGTAGCATAGAATGCTTGTCTCAACCACGAAATGCTATCGAACTGAAAATAAAAATTAAAGTTTAGTTGAAAAGTTCTCTCATTAATAAAAAACTTTGAGTTGAATAATTCTACACTGACGTTGATTTTTTTTTGTCCAAAAATGACTTTTGGATACCTCTTTTTTTTTTTTTTTTTTTTTTTTTTTTTAATAATTTATGCATTTAAAAAAAATAAAGACGCACGGTAAACTAATGATAAAGGAAACGTTTGTAGTTCTCTGGTGGTTTTAGCAAAATCAATCTTTCTTTAAATCGAGTGATAAAAGTATCGTTTTACATACTTTATATATATATATATATATATATATATATATATATATATATATATATATATATATATATATATATATATATATATATATATATATATATATATATAATATTATTCTTATAACAGTAACTTGATCCGAAGGGTCGTATCACGTCGAGTTGACACAGCGTAAAATCAACAGTAAAATTGAGTGATACACAGTAGGTATATATTAAATAAATATTATTATAACAGTAACTTGATCCGAAGGGTCGTATTACGTCAGGTTGACAGGCACGGATCATCAGATCAAACGTCTCGTTTGATCTGATGATCCGCGCCTGTCAACTCGACGTGAGACGGCTCTTCGGATCAAATTACTGTTATAATGATAAATTTATTATAAACCCCCTTATAACTAACTGAATATACCAAAATTAAACTTTAAAGATCAATTGTATAATATTTTATCCATTAAACAAAGCATTAAATCAATGGACTTTTTAACGCGCAAGAAAAATAACGTCATGTTTCTGCGTACCACGTCATCAGTTTCAGAGCGTGGTGATATGGATTCAGAAAACCACAGCGTGGTGATCCGGAAAGTCGGATCACGTCGTAAATTCGTAAATGGCGTAAATTCAACAGTAAAATTGAGTGATATACATTAGGTATATAATTAATCGGTAGACCATGATTTATACACTGGATAATTTCATTTATCCGGTCATGACAGGGCACACGCGCTTGATGAGATGGACTTTTCTACTCGGCGAATAGAGTTTTGACGCTGTTTACGGACATTAAATAAAACAAAGACGAGCAAGCCATATATGGTTGTGTAGATAAATTATCGTAGATGACATAGGTATGCACAGTTTGCCTCTGCCTTTTCTCTGAAAGTGTAAATGAGCGCGATTCTAAGGGAGGGGGGTACTTCGTGTAATTTGGAGTTAGATACCTTTTGTTATTATTATACTATGGGTCAAACATTCATAACAGAAACAAGTGCCTGTGGATGCTTACTACTCTTTAACATTTGTCTCAACCGCTGATTTATTTTCATATCTGTATTTGCTTTGCTATCGATTTGTATCGTTTTAATGGACTTTTCACCTTGCTTACTGTCCGTAATCTCAATATTTCTTTTTTTTATTTCTTTTCTTTTTTGTTTTCATTCTGATTATAAACTTTGTTCGAGATAACTGGTTTTCAAGTCATTGTGAATAAGACATAATGACATACACACACAGAGAACTTGACCTTAAAAGATGTTTATTTCTTGATAACTCTGCATATATGTAATAAGTAGAAAATATAAGGTATTTTAGGTGCATGTTTTTTTATGGCATCAAAAGTGTCAGATTTTGGAAATATTATCCCCGAAAAACATATTTGTGCAAATTAAAGGATTTTACCTATTTCTAGTTAATTTTTCAAAAATATTATTTTTTTTTTATCAATGGCTACAGAGAAAGATATATATTATTTATTTCCTTTTAAGAGACCTAAGAAAAAATACACACCATATTGGACAGGACTGTGCGTACTAACTATTCGTAATCATAAAATAGTGTTCGGCATTGTCTAAATCTGTAAATGGTTAGATTACATTCCCCCACCAATTCATAAAATTTATTTTACCTTATCATTACAGGAAGCTCAATACAAAAGTGTATTTACCCGCACGTGCATCAGAGTATGTATATTTGATATTAAAACCTATGGTATTCTTCAAAGGGTTAAAATTGTAATTATTTTTCTATTTATTTCAGAAACATTACGTTTCTTGACATTTGAATCTAATTTGCATTGCCTTCATGAAAATATGAAATAAATCATACATCTTTTCAAATCCCTAAATTATCTGTACACAAAACATTATCTTATGTTGTTTGATTATTGTAGCTGTTGTTTCGTTGCTTTTAAGCGGGGGAAAGATGACACAATCAGGTTAGTAGATTTTTGGTAACCAAAAGATATTGTTTTTTCTGCATTGGTCACAAGTATTTGTATATTTACCCTAAAAAAACAGACACCGAAAAAGTTTGAAGGCATATGCCGGGCAATTTTCTAAAAATTTTCGAATTACTAATGATATTTCATTTATGTAGGCCTAAATCATTAAACTTTGCCATACCTTACGTTTTAAGATAGATATTTGGCATTTTTAACGGGACAAAATTTCAGGAATTCGTGTTTTAATTGTTATTTCAGAAGTCTTGTTTAAGTCATCATTTTGTAAGTTCTATGGCCAATACAAAACCTTGTCTGCAAATACACTTTTTCATGAAGTCAAATGCTGACAAACGATTTTCATACTAATTGTTAGTCAATTATTTATGCACTGAATTGACGACGTACTGATTTTTCTGTTATTTCCCGATCATGACAAGGAGCACACGGCGAGTGTGTCCGGTTAGCAGGGGATGCTCACTTCTCAATGGCAACTGATACCACGTCTGATGCATTGGAGGTTTTTGTTTGCTCTGATCCTATTTTGTATTGTTTTACGGACTTTTGATCTTGAATACTGTTTGATATCTCCATGTTTCAATCTATACAACAAAAACAAT